AAAGTAGGCCACCTCCGTGAAGGAACAAAGTCCTCCAGCAAGGTCAGAATCCCATCAGGCTTGTGTTCCAAGGCCCAGAGCACAGCTTGAAAGCAGAGGTAATTGAGCCAGCTGCTGAGAGGCAGCAGCCACATCCCCTCAACGCATTAATCTGCCTCCCTGGGCTGTGAAGGGGACCCAGCGCTTCCATTTTACCAGCATGAAGAAGCACACCATTTTCATGCATCATTCCATAAAAATCCCCTCCTGGAGGCTTCATCTAAAAAAGAAAAAATACTCAAGGGAATAGTCTCTATAGCTTCACATAGCTCTTTATTTAGAAAATCTTAACTCATGAATTTCATCCAGCTGTTTATTTTTTTTTCCATGATTGGCCAAACAGGGAATCCAGTTTGGGGTCTGTTCTAGCCTACACTGAGGCCTAGAATTTGGGAGAAGCCCAGAGAAAGGTATTTGTCTCAAGGGGAATGAGAGGTAAGAAGAAAAGTCTCTTTGGGGAAAATAACCCTTCAACCAGGGTGAAAGCGATTCCTCTTTGTCAAGACAGATGGGGAGGAGGGTGACAGATATTCATCTTGTCCAATGGATCTGCTGCCCCCGGCATTCAGAGAGAAACCTTAAGTTTCTGGTGAGAAAGTAAATAAGAAGCCACCAAGAACTTAGCAAGGACACCAAAAATAAAAAAAATGTATGCTGCTTGTCTCAGAGACTCCAACAAAACTCCTTCCCAACTTCTGTACGACGACGACGACGATGATGATGATGATGATGATATGATAGTCTGTTCAATTTCTATTATGTATCAGACAATTCATGTATCAGACTATTTATATGCATTATCTCTAAGCAACATGTAAGGCAGGTATTTTTATCCTAATTTTACAGATGAGAACACACGGTTACAACGGTTGGGTAATTTTCCCACAGTTACTCTGTTTAAGTGGCAAAACTTCGATTCTAAAGTAACGCTCTTTTCAAAACACCATCTTCTGACTTCTCTTCATCGTCATATCAAAATGGTAATTAATGTTTTAAAATGATAGTGAATCTACATAATAACACAGTAACTATTCTCCCACAATGAAACAAAAATAAATATGGTCAAATAATTCAAGACCATTTAACAAGCTATTCAGTGGGAAACTTTCTAGTTCCTGGAATTGACAATTGAGACTGAACAAAGGTTCCACATCCCAACCTTCTAAATACAGCCACAAAAAATTGGGACACTTATCGGCCCAGGACTTCATAAGAGCAGCTGAAGGACTGGTTCTATATCAGGAAGAGAGGAGTTGGTCTAGGTGGTTTGTCACAGGCCTAGTGCATTTGGGTCAGAGACATTGTTTTCTATACTGGATGAGAGTGGTACTTCCTCATTTCCTAGCACAGCAGTTCTCAAATTTTTTAGTTGTCAAAACCCCTTTACACTCTCAAAATGTATTGATGATCCTAAAGAGCTTTGTAGAATTTGAATTCTATGAATATTCATAGTATTAGAAATTAAAACGAGAAAATGTTTGATTATATACTTACTAGAGGCCCGGTGCACGAATTCATGCATGAGTGGGGTCCCTCGGCCTGGCCTATGATTGGGGCCGATCAAGGGCCATCTCGCCCAATCCCAATCAGGGCCAATCGGGGCCGGCCGGGGGGGAGGGACCACAGGAGGTTGGCTGGCTGCAGGAGGTTGGCTGGGGAGTGCACTGACCACCAGGGGGCAGCTCCTGCATTGAGCGTCTGCCCCCTGGTGATCAGTGCGCATCATAGCTACCAGCTGGTCATCTGGTCGTCCAGTTGTAACAGTTGCTTAGGCTTTTACATATATATACATATATAGATTAATTCATTTGGAAATAATAATAATAAACCCATTTCATGTTAACATAACATTTTAATAAAAATTAACTTCATTTTCCAAAATTAGAAAAAAATGAACAAGAAGAGTAGCATTGTTTTACATTTTTGAAAATCCCTTTAATGTCTAGTATAATAAAAGACAACTGGATTTTCATGTCTGCTTCTGCATTCAATGTTACATGATGCTGCTTTGATTGAAAAATATGAAGAAAATCAATCTGGCCTTACACAGACGTGCAGTTGGAAAAGAGGAATATTGTAATAGCCTTTTATTTAACCACTAGAGGTCCGGTGCACAAAATTCATGCACTGGAGGGGGTGTCCCTCGGTCTGGCCTGCCCCTTCTCACAGTCCGGGAGCCCTCAGGGGATGTTGTACTGAAGCCGCAGTCTGGCCTCCCTCTGCGGGAGGTGACCGGCCAATCAGGGGAAGGCACCGCCCCCATCACCCCCTTGCTACTGCTGCCTCTGGCCTCCTTCTGCGGGAGGCGACCCTGCAATCAGGGGAAGGCAATGCCCCCATCACGCCTCTGCTGCTGCCACTGCCAACCCCGAGGCTGCCTGAGCCTCAGCCATCACAGCCACTACGGCTTGCCTGAGCCTCACCCGGCCCTCATTGCCTGAGCCTCTGGCCTCGCAGCGGCAGCGGCCATAGGTGGCTTGCTGGAGCCCTGGGCCGGCCCTGGGCAAGTGATAGCAGCCATTGGCGGCTTGCTGGAGCCCCAGGCCAGCCCTGGGCAAGTGGCAGTGGCCATCAGCCATGAGCTTCCTTGTGCTTAAACGATCGGGTGCACTCGTCCTGTGATGGGCAGATCGCATCTTCCAGCGTTCTCCTGGCTGCAGGGGAGGGTACAGGTCTCCCTCCGGCCCTGGGTCACTGGGTCCAGCTGCTAGAGGAAATTCCCTACATTAGTTGCCCGGACACCTGGAGGCCTCCACCGATTCCCGACCCTGACCCGAGGGGCGTTGAGGGGTGATGGAGGCGGCCTGGGAGTTTGAGGAGCCGTAGGAAGTTGCTGCCTTTCTCAGAACCCCTGACCTGTGGTGCTGGAGGCCAAGATGGGGCATGGCTGGGCCAGGAGCTCTTAGCCGTGGAGCTCGGACTTTCCCTCACCTGCCTTCACTGCTGGGCTTTCTCTTGCTCACTTGCCTTCGCTGCTGGTGCAGAGGTTTCCCGGCAGAGCGGCTCTGCTGCCACTTGGCAGAAGGAACCAGTGGTCCTTCTGGGCAGTCGGCAGCAGCCATCAGGAGCGCTCACAGCCGCCGCCACCATGTGGGGAGTACAGCCCGCCCTCCGCCCCCGTCCAGACGCTGCAAGTCTCCACCCACCCATCCCTGCTGCGTAGGCAGCCTGCTGAACCGTCGTTATGTGACAGCATCCCGACCAATTTGCATATTACCCTATTATTAGGTAGATGGATATTCTTCTTCGATATTAGACCAAAACTCAACAAGTAGTAATGTATTTCTTCAATGTGGAATCTGGAACCACATTGATATTTTTTTGTACTTTGTTATATTTAAAATCCATTGGGTGAAAGGGGTGATGGTGGTCAAAAGATACAAACTCCTTTTTACGACAAATAAGTCCTAGGCATGTAATGCACAGCATGGTGACTACAGTAAACAATGCCGTATTATATATTTGAAAGTTGCTAAAAGAGTAGATTTTAAAGTTCTCATAAGAAAAACCTTGTAAGTATGTGTGGTGCTGGATGTTAACTAAGCTTATTGTGCTAATCATTTCTCAATATATACATATGTCAAATCATTATGTTGTACACCTAAAACTAATACAGTTTTATATGTCAATTATATCTCAAAAAATTTAGGCATGGTGACTATAGTTAATAATACCATATTGTATATTTACATATATCAAATCACTATATTATAACCTTTAAAGTTATACATTATGTCAATTCTATCTCAATAAAACTGGAAAAAAGAAAAAATAAAGATTTTCCTGGGTGCCATACGGAGAACAGACTGTAGGGAGCCCAAAGTGCATAGAAGATCAGGTAAGACTCTCACAGCAGGTCAGACAAAAAGGTTTAGATCAGAATGGAGCCTCAGTTTCTTCATTTGTAAGAAAATAAAAAACTAACCTTACCTACATCACAGGATTGTTGCAAGAATCAAATGAGTTTGTAGATGTAACAGTATAAAAGTTATCATTATTTATCATTAGCAGCTGTCTCTACCAAACAGATTTCTTTTCCTGAGGCCTAAGATTAATTAAAGTCCCAACATTCAGTGGCTGCCAGGGCAGGGAAAACACAAAGAAAAACACACACAACATATTGTATATTTGCAAGTTATCTTTTAACATATTTTTAGTAGATTTTTTAAGTTCTCATAAGAAAAAAATTGTAACTATGTATGATGAAGTGTTAACTATACTAATTGTGGTGATCATTTCACTATATATGTATATCGAATTTATATTGCTTACCTGAAACTAAAATAATGTTATATGTCAATTGTAACTGAATTTTTTAAAGAATTATTGAATGCATTGGTTAATCTTGTACTTGGAATGGATCTTTACTTTTTTTGTTTTTATAACATCATTCATTGATAAGTCATTTGGGAATATCAGTACACTTAATTATATAGCTCTTTCAAATTAACATATTTCATTATGCTAATCAAAAATCACATTCAATATCATCACCCACAATGCCATCAGAAAGGTCTTTAAGTATGGGAAGCTATCAAGCTCATGGTTTCAAATGCAAGTTTTGCAAAAGCCCAATTTCTACTTCAAAACTCAAATTTCACCACTGGCAACACATCCTGTCAGCTAGTTTTCTGGAAGTGGCAGGCTCTCTTTGTATATAATTCAAGAAAATAGCTACCAAATACCCAAGTCAGGAGAGCAATAGTTTATATCAGTAACTCTTTCAAATAAAAATGATGGGCGCCGGAGAGTGTTAACGAGGAAGTCAGAGAAACCCAGGCCCCATATCAGGCAACAGGGATTAGAGAAAGGGGCAGGGGCGTGGGCTGTCCAAGGCTGTCAAGAGAAGGCATGTCCCGCAGGTGAGGGGCTGTTAGCAGGGGATTGGAGGATGAGGGGCAGCAGGGATCAGGATGAGTCTCAGTATTGCCCCTAAAAATATATGTATATCATCTGCACAGATAGCACTTCATCAAGCAGAGAAGACCAAAGGCATCTCACCATCCCCTCCAACAGGTAACTCATCTTCTCTCCCTAATTCTCAATATCCTGCAGGGAGTAGGCCCAGAAAAGAGAGGAGAAGGAAGTGAGGCAGACGCTACTGTACCTTCCACCCCTTTCCCCCTGTCCACCCTACAATGCCCAAATGCATTTTCCCAGAAATATTAACATACATAGCAATAGCTAATATTTGCTAAACAGTTACTATTACTGTTCCAGTCACTGTTCTAGAAGCTTTATTTATTTAATCCCCACAGCAAACCTATGGTCTGATGCTATGTCAGAGAGGTTAAGTAACTGGCCCAACCACACAGTAAGCAGCAAGGTCAGATTTGAACCCAGGTCATCTGACTCAAATTCAGTAATTTAACAATAACGCTTCTCTGATCCTCATGCAAGGGTATCTACTTGGTGCCTGCAATTCAGGAGGGCCACAGATTCCTGCACCCAGAGCCCATCCACTATCACTTAAAAGTCCACAGATCTAGAGCTAAGAACACCTGCTATCGATGAAAGCCCTTGGTAAGCTCGCTGAAGGAAGATCAATGCGAGGGATTCTCCTCATTGATTTTGGGTTCCTGCAAAGCCACCTCACCTCGCTGTGACCAGAAAAGTCCAGCTTGATGCCCTAACCCTGTGTTATTATGGCTTTCCCTGAAGTAGCATTTGAAACGTTTTTTTTTCTAATAGGCTGCCCATGAAGTGTCAATAACACAAACAGGTGTCCATCTGCTTAGGTACTATGTGTAAATCTGAGCTTTTCATTAAAAATAAGAAAGATCTTTTTAGTCCTCCCTTCCACCAAGACTCAAGCTTCACCAGGTTGCGAGCATCCCCTCCCCTCTGGGAATGTCCACCCTAAACCTAACCACCCACTAATTAGAGCTGTTTTCTGATAGTCATGCCCTGGTGTTCATATGCTCATGCCCTCTCTTGAGTGTAGGCTGACATTTTTGTCCTATCACTTTTTTAAATTGTGGTAAAATAGAGTTACCATAAAAGTTACCATTTAAATGATTTTTAAGCGTACAGTTCAGTGGCACGAAGTACATTCACATTCTTGTGCAACCATTTACACTCTTCGTCTTCACAACCTTTTCATCTTCCCAAACTGAAACTCTGTATCCACTGAACACTAACTCTGCAGTCCTTCTCCCAGCCCCTGGCAACCACCATTCTACTTTCTTTCTGTCCCTATATATTTGATTATGCTGGGTACCTCATATAATTGGACTCATACAATATGTGTCCTTTTGTGAGTGACTTAATTCATTCAGCATAATGTCCTCAATGCTCATCAATGTTGTAACATATACCAGAATGTCCTTCTTTTTTAAGGCTGAATGACATCCCCTTATATGTATAGACCATATGGTCTTTATCCATTCATCCATCAGTGGACAATTGGGTTGTTTGCACCTTTTGGTTATTGTAAATAGTGTGGTTATGAGCATCGAGGGAATAAATACACCCATGCTCAGACGTAAGTGTTTGAGTTCTTGCTTTCAATTCTTTCGTGTTGATATCCTGGAGTGGAATTGCTGGATCATATGGTAGTTCTATTTTTAATTTTTTGAGGAAGCCATCACACTGTTTTCCACAATGGCTGCCCCATTTTACATTCCCACTAACAGTACACAATTTTTCCTAGGCTGACTTATTGATTCACTTCCAATGAATATAATAAAGCAGAAATGATAGGATGTCACCTCCACCAACATTAGGTTATAAGAAGGCTTGTCACCCCAGACAGTTTAGCTCAGTGGCTGGAGTGTTGGCCCACTGAAGGTTTGATTCCCGTCAAGGTCCTGTACTTCAATTGCAGGCTCAATCCCGGGCCCTGATCAGGGTGTGTGCGGGAGGCAACTAATCGATGTGTCTCTCTCACATTGATGTTTCTCTCTGTGTGTCTCTCCCCCTCCCTTCCACTCTTTCTAAAAATCAATGGGAAAATATCCTCAGGTGAGGATTAACAAAAGAAGGAGGAGAAGGAAGGAGGAAGAGGAGGAGAGGGAGGAGGAGGAGGAGGAGGAGGAGAAGGAGGAGGAGGAGGAGGAGGAGGAGGAGAAGGAGAAGGAGAAGGAGAAGGAGAAGGAGAAGGAGAAGGAGAAGGAGAAGGAGAAGGAGGAAGAAGGAAGAAGGAAGAAGGAAGGAGGAAGGAGGAAGGAGGAAGGAGGAAGGAGGAAGGAGGAAGGAGGAAGGAGGAAGGAGGAAGGAGGAAGAAGAAGAGGAAGGAGGCTTGTCTAGAGCCCTCTGTTGGTTTGCTGGCTCGAAAGAAGCATACTCCATGTTGTGAACTGTCCTAGGAGAGGTCTATGTGGCAAGGAACAAAAGTCTCTAGCCAACAGCCAATAAGAACCAGATGCCTGCCAAAGCCACATGTATGTGCTTGGAAGCGGGTCATTTCCCTATTGAGCCCTGAGATGATCACAGCCTGGTGGACACCTTGATTGCAGCCCTGTGAGGGACCTTGAGCCATGCAATGAAGCCATGCCCAGACCCCTGACCCACGAGGACTGGAGGTAGCAAGGATTGGTTGTTCTAAGCTGCTAAGTGTGGGGTATAATTTGTTATGTAGCAATAGATAATGAATACAGTGGAGCTAGATAAGGATTATTAAAAAGAAAGAAAACAGGTTTGTAAGCTCTTGTGAATAATCTCATAGAGAGAAAAATCCAGAGAGAAAGGAATGAGCTGAGGAAGTGATGCCCTTGGTGAGGGGTAAGATCTTGTGCACAGAAGAAAGGATTGATTTTCGACAGAAGCAGAAGCTCATCGACACAGTGAGAGTGAATTCACTGGAGAAATATCATATGAAGTCTGTGGTCATGAATTTAAAGTGAAACCAGCAGGAAGTTTGTGTGATTTTTCTCCAGTCACGTTTAGCTGCATAGCTTTGGACATGGAGTAGGTGGGGTTGGATTTAACCAGGGTTTTTCGTTTTCCCAAGAGAGGATGGCAAAGCTAGAGGGATATTCTCATCAGTATATGCTCTATACTACAACTTTTGTAGTTTATAGTATATATAATAGCATGTAATATATATAGCATATATGTGCATGTATCTATATAGCACATATAATATATATTGGTATAAATACTATATATGTTATATATATATGTTATATATATATATTATGTTATATATATATGTTTATCTATATACTATCCATATATCTATATATACAAATATATATATATATATTAAGTGCAGGTGTCCCAAAAAGGCGCTTTGGCCGCCATTCTAATTCCAAGGGGTTAAACCGAAAAAAACTCTATTGGAGCTATCAGTG